TTTTTTTTTTTTTATCTATGGACATCTATGGCTTCAAAATTCCATTGTGATTGTAGTGTGTGTCCTCTTTATTGCAAGGTTGATTTGTCATGCGTATTAACTCTTCAGCATTGTATCGACCAGAGATTTAGGTCTTGAATATTGTGTTTAGATTTTTACGTAGGTATGTATCATCAATTTTTTTTAGTAAATGTTTATCATGATTGTTCTACATTTCGAATTATGGTTGCACGTGAGTGGTTTTATGGTTGTACCTTACAAGGGCTTGATTATGTATCCTGTAACCGCCACCTAACATTACCTGTCAACTTGATCTGTCGTCTGCGTGTGCGGTAACAAAGGCATAACGGGCACGAGTTTCCTGTTATTTCGGTGGAATAGTATAAACTAACTCCTGAAAGTTATTGTATCTCAGACCTCAATGGTTGTCCAGAATCTACTTAGAGCAATTGCCTCTTGAGGATGATGAATGGACTTACAAAGATTTTTTTTAACTTAAATGTCTTTGCTACATGCATAAAAGTATAAAACTGCATTAAGTCAGTAAACCAAGAAAGAATAGAAATCTTGGGCATGATTATTAAAACTGCATTAGGCCAGGTCTTGAATGGGGCTTCATTTTTACCAGACCTGAACGGTACTTCAGTTTGACCTGACATTGGTCATGACAGCTTACATAACAAGTATATTGTAGTCAAATGTGATATCATCTTAAAATTTGCAACATAACAGAAGATTTGCTTTTGCGGTGGAGGGATTTAGATATCCAAGTAGCGGCATGATCACTATATTTACACTTTTGTCTACAGGAGGTGCCTTTAACCTTTAAGATTATTCTTTCAAGCTATAAGATTAATTTGTTTTTTTTAATATCTTTGGTAGTAAGGGTACAATTGTACTTTTAACCCATGGTTATATTTCATTCTTTTCTAAAACATGGTTATATTTCATTTTTTATTTCAAAAAAGTGCTAGAAAACCTGGGCTCTGTTATTTTTAACACCTGAAGACCAGTTGTCTTTGCCTGAATCTTTTGATCTAGACATTGAAGAGTTAATTTCTCGAGCACATTCTCTAATGAAATGTGAGCAGGTCAACATTTCATCATGGCCACGGTTTAAAGATGGTGTTGGACTTGCACCTCAACAGCTTAAGAAATGCCAGTGTGAGGACAATGTGGGAAGATGATGTACATCCACATTACGTCATGAGGCGCTTTGCTGAATTTACAGCTTTGCTAATATCAACTTAATGTTGATTATGGAAATGTTCAGATTAGAAAATGCACTCACAAATGGCTCTTGCTAACTTTTATCTTGATGATTGGACTTCTTCCAACATGGTTCTTATGTAGTGTTTTTATTTACAAATTTAAATTTATTTTTCTCCCTGAAGCTGGCTGAGGTTTGCAGCTTGAACTCAACATGGAAAAGCTGGTGATAGCTGCCGATGATTTGCTTGTTAAGCTTGTGAAATTGTTTCAGAAACCAAAGTCGGAGTCTTTATTTTTAATAAATAACTATGGCATGACAATTGTTGTTTTGAAGTTCTTGTACTCGAGTAGCATCTGATGCAAACGAAGAAGTGTGCAACCTAGAAGTATTTAGCTGCTTTTTTATTATTATTATTATTATTATTATTATTATTATTATTATTAGTAGTAGTAGTAGTAGTAGTGGTGGTGACCGGTGGTGATGATGATAATAATAGTTGAAGTTTTGTCCTCACATCCTAGAAACTTCATATTCCTGCTTGTCTAGGATTTTTGCATCCAACATGTCAAATGTTTTCCTAAAGGTGTCGTGTTTTTTTTTCAGGAAGTTGTTACCGAGGGAGAGAGGTAAAATTAAATGAACTTTGAAGAGTTGCTGAGAAGAACTATACAACCATTTATCTGGTAACATTACACAAAATGTTAAAAAGTTTACATCGATTAGAGAGTACCAACAATGCCAAATTGTGGTCCTCTGAAATTACCAAAAACATTTCAGAATGTCATTATAATTCAAAGAGTTTTCTACTTGACAAGAACAGGTAACTATTAAACATGTCACTACATTTTATTTCCTGATATTAGTAATTATATC